GTTCGTCTAATAATAGAGGAAACTAGCCGAAGCGCCATACTATTTCCTTGCTAATTGCACGTTGGTTTGGCCACTGCACCGTGCGCGGGTAGTATTAACCCTGTGAGGCATGAATTTCATTATTGCGTGGGAAGAATAGTTTCGTGGATAATTGCATGGTCTTTAATTAATTCACAATTTAAGAGCATAGTAAACAGCTGAGTTTGCAGGAATAGAGTCCAATACGTCATTTTATAGCAAAGGGTTAACAATGTTCTTTACAATTAATTTGTCTTGAGGACACCTTCAAAAAGGACACGATCTCTGGTTCATGGAACCTGATAAAAACGATTTTAAACTCGCGATTGATTTTGGTGTCGAAGTTTAGGGTGGATAAAGTTTTGGTTAAATTGCAAGCAAGTACTCAACTTTCATTTCTTACTTGGAAGACGTTTCACATTATTAATACTAACAGCAAACATCGCCAACAGTATCGATCATCTCCCAGACCCAGTTTGAAGTTCGCGGCGTTAACCTCGTCCCAGATCGGTCCATCGAGCCGCGTCTTTGTCGAGGGACACGGAGAACAAATCCAGCGCTCGGTTGTTTGGGTTCGCACGAGCATAACCCGGAAATCGTCTTGACACGGGCACACGGGGTCTCGTGAACGTTGACACCTTATTATCGCGGTGCCTGGGGGCCGCGATCATCGGCAAGAAATTGCTCGGCGCGCTCTCCGCGCCGGCGAAAGTCGCCCGGTGAAAAGAATGCCCCGCTAAACTATATTCCGATCGGAAGTCACGCGGAATAATCCCGCAGCGGGTCGTTGCGCGATTCGATCGGCGACTCGCGATCGACCGGACCCGCCACGGTTCGATGAAGAAACGATCCTTTATCGGGACACTCGACCACGTAACCGGGCTTATTCAATAACTTCCATATTTAAGCGGAGAGCGTCGAATGCTAATAAAGATAGTAGAAAGGTGGACTGCTGGGGCTGAATGATGCAAGGTGGGTTAGGTGGGTTCCTGTTAGGTTCGTGGATTCGACTTGGTAGCTATGAATTCGTAAGAAATGCCGAGGTCGTTTAGAAAAATGAAAAGGGCAGATGGAAGGAAGTTACGAAGGAAATGGAACACGAATTGGTAGATTTCCAAGGTTTTGGGAGCTGTGGAGGTGGCTTATGTGAACCACATGTTCACCTGTACCAATTGTGGCAATGGTAATTATTAAATATAGAATAGCAGACACCGCATCAAATAAATATTCACACTGGCCCTTGCATGCAAAAAAAGATAAAAAATGAAAATGCAAACAATGCTCTTATAGATAAAGAAGAATTACCATCCTCGAACAATCATTCCGTCTCTTCCTACCAACCTTCTTCGCTCCTATCGTACCAAAAAGAACTATCACACGTGAAACATTAGACAAATTTCAGAATAAATACTTCTACCGTTCCCAAGGTTGTATACTGCCCCCTGAAAAATTTCCAGTCGAGCAACCAGCTCGATACAATGAGCGCTTAATCGCGCGATAAGTAGTCCATTATCTCGCCTTAATTATCATCGAGTAGCTCGTATCGGCTCGAGGATCGAGCAGAACAGTTGCAGGTCCCGAGGGCGATTTTTCTGGCGCGCGCCAGAGGCTCGCCTCGGGGATCTCTCGAAAACGGCTCGTCATTAATATTAGCCCGAGTTCGGAACAGCAACACCCGATACCCACCACTTGGAACGTATAAGATTACAATCCTCTCGCTACGGTACCTGACTACCGTTAAATATATGTTTTACAGCATGTTCGGAACGCAAGAGCCCCACTCTTGAGGTATCGTCCTATCGGGCTCGTCGATTGAACGTGTTACCTGTTGAACGACGACGATAACGCATCGATCTGGGTATCCAGATCGACTTTCAAGGCCACCTGGCCTCCATGGGATCGAATAGTGACCCGACGTGTTACACCGATGCGACCAATGAGCAATTTTCGCGGTTTTCCCACCAACGCCAACCGCGATTTATCGATCCTCTGCGATTGACTCCTTTACGGGAATATTTCAATTATTCATTATTTCGGCATACTAGGTCGTTTGTTCTTCGTGTTGTAAATTGTGGTTATATTTAATAATAATTCACAGAATCGGTAACGATCTTGCCAGAAAGGTGAGAAATGGTCGTAGAAAGAGAGGGTGCTGAATAATAAGTGGCAGGAACTAATATTATGGATGTTTAAATATTTCAAGTATTGGAGTATGCGAATAGCGTTGCAAGATTTACATTAAAATTCCTGGCGAAGCCTGTATTGAAGATTAGCCAACATGAACAACAGTGTTTACGTTTTCTCAAATCTGGAGTGACCGATTCAACTACAGCAACCAACAAGTCTGAACAAATGAAATGAAACATTATGGTCAACAATTTGTGTACCAATTTGAACATATTTCGAGGATTCAACATCTCCCGAAGCAGACCATCCATCCGACCATCTTCATCGGCTCTGGTTTTGCTAGATGTGAACAGTCCTGACACGTCGAGAGAAAGTGATTGGTCGTAGAGACTCTAAGCTCCAAGTCTGACAATGAGTTGAGACGCTCAGCTTGAGTCGACGTTCTCTCGTGATGTTCGTGATGTGCGCTCGTCGAACGTCTTTGAAGAATCTACCAAACCACGTCAAACATCGTTGAAACACCGAACCACATTTAACATCTTTGAAACGTCTATTGAACCGCATCGATCGTTCACGAGATGTCTACTAAACCAAATGTCGTTGGAACGTCTATGTTTCAAGGTATTGAATGTGGCTTTGACGTACGTTCAAACGCACGATAGATATTACCTATCTTTAGACCATTTTCCTTCTTTCACACCAAACATCCGCTTATCATCTCTGAAACATCGACAAAATTCCATTCAAACATCACTCAAACCTAACCGAACCTCCACGAATGAAATCGCGACGGATTCCTCGGATTTCTCGTCAATTTAATTAACGTCCGCGTAATTAGATTATCAGGAAATCTAAATCGAGAGGCTTCTCGGAAGTCGAAGAGGAACAAAGGCAAGGTTCGAAGCGGCGTTCCCGCTGCCACGAGCAGTTACGGGTTGTACACGTTTGAAGGATTAAAGGATACGGTCGATTAATGGCCGAGCACGGCGCTCATTGCTTTACCCACCGTGCACTGTGGCTTTCGTGCGGCTCGCAGTGAAGAACGACATGCTCGGGATTTAGGACAAGCGTTTGCGTGATTCTATTTCCACGGCTCGATCGCACGGGTGTATGTAACCCATATTCGTTCCCCGAACCGTAGATGAATCATAGCGATCGATCACGAATGCACGCGCGGACGCAACCGTTCCACGCTAACGTGTTTGTGGATCCAAAGCTGAGGCTGTTGCGTCATCGTAATTTTTCGTTGTTCGTCGAGTTCTTCAACTAGCTTTATCGCGACAATTTTTTTTAGTTATTATGCATAGTTACTGTTTTATAATTCTTTCGATGCGAAGAGACAGAGTGAGTATTTGTAGAATTTTTATGTAATTGATGGGAATGGAGGTATTTGTCGATGAAAATGCTACTTTCGGCGCTACTTTCGGAGACACTTTTGGTTGAACTGACGGGAATAAAAACATCTGAAGGATAAAACAGATTTCTATAGAAGTGCCATTTTTGTAACTGTATTTGATCAAAGTATGCGTTTGTAAAAACAGTTTCATTTTTGTTAGTATATCGTCCATGACGTCTCTTTTTTTCGTAATGATTTTTTGCCCATTTTCACTGTTAAACCTTTTTGTTGAAGTTAGCAAAAAAAGAAAAATACTTTCAACTAATGTAATATAATTTAACAAGTTCATTTATAGTTGCCCATTTGGTTGCACTATTAATTCATTTGAGCTCACCACGGTTGGCTTCAAGGTTAACATTTCGCAATTTCGATCGATTTGGTAGCATCGGAAGTTATCTTTAGTTGCTGGTTCCCACGTGACATTAACCACATCGCTTTTGCACGGGGTGGGATTCCTGCAATTAAAAAACAGTCGATTCGTCAAATGTACCAAATCAAATCGCGTATTTTACGTTATAAAACAATTGATATCGAATAGGATATCTGAAGTGCTACGACTTACCCTGTTTTGATAAAGTTGGTCCACAAGGTGGTCATACGTTCTATCATAGCTCTGTCATCGGTGCCAATAGCTGGTGGTGAAGGATTATCCACTTTGCAAAGTGGCCAATAGAACAGGTAGACCAGTTCGTCCATGTGCGAGGAGGCTGGAATTGATTTTTATGGATACTCGAACCCTTCAACATTCGACTACCAATCTTATCTTCTAAACGTGTACATTGTTCATATTCTACATACTTCTCCATTTGCCAACATTCTTGTACATTTAACCACATTTCGACTTGTCACGAATGCATAAACATTCCCAGTCTAGTGACAATTGTGTGAAAATGTTAGACAATCTGCTATCAAGAATGTGACATTCTTCTCAATGCTTAATAAAAATGGTAAAGCATTTTCTTTTCTTATTCAGTTGAAGATCGGTCTGTACTATAAATCGTATTAAGAATTAGAAAGAAAAAAAATATCTCACCTTTTATTTTACGGCAGTTCAAGATATCCGTGTACGTCTTCTCGTTTCCGAGATACGTGAACCAGTAATAGTAAGTAGCCGCGGTCGCCCTTTTCAGACGATCCTCGACGTACAACCTCAGGGGGATAGTGAAGTAGGCATCCGAGCCGAAATGCAGGTACCTTTCGAGTATGTTCGAGAGGGATGGATTAGGAAAGTACACTTTCTTGACAGTCTCGTGTAGTTGGTCCACTTCCGCGGGCCCTAAGTTTTTCAACGAACCTAAGGTTTGCACCATATCGAATAGGTGCGTTTCGTAAGCATCCATCGCGCTCTTGTCGTCGTCTGAAAAGATCGACAAATCGTATAAAAAACTGTACGAACACGAATGGTTTTGTTGCTTTAGTCGTTTGAAATATTCTTTGGAAAGTTACCATAGCACAGCATGAGGCCTTCGTATGTCACCTGCCCAGCCATGATGGGGATGTTCCCGTCGTTGGAACATAATTGCGACAATGGTAGAGGCAGTACAGGGTCCTCAGCGAATTCGTCGTAATTCACTCCGAAGGGGATATCGTAAAGGTCTATCTCCTGCGGCAATAGGAACTTATGTTCGTTACGCGTGAAGGGCTTCGCGATAGCCGCGATAACAGAAAATATTTTGCCTTTTGCGTTAGAACGGAAGTCTCTAACTTGACGATGTCTTTGTCGGGTAGCTGTCTGAGCAAATCGACGACCTCCTCAGGATCGGTGGAGTTTATCCCTAAGAGCGACGCTAGTTTGAAACCTCGTTTTGGACGGCTCTGACCTATTCCCCAAGGGCTCAGCATGGTTCCACTTTGCATAATCGCTTTGTGAATGAGTCCTGTAGAAAGGATTTTACATTGTTCATATTTTCATAAAATCGGGATGATTTTTATTTTCAATTGTGCACGAGGTGTTTGGGGGTGGCAAGGGTGGACTGTCAACAGTTTGTTGACAATTGTTTGTGTTTAACGAATTGATTCAGTACAGTAGGTATCGCTACGGCAACAAAGGGTTAACTTCCCCGAAGGGTAATCTTCATTTTTAAGTATGGAACGCTAAATGTACCTTTCGCTTTCGGCGATATCGCTGAGGCATGAGTTAACAATGCCCCTGCGCTTTGACCACAGAGCGTGACATTATTAGGATCTCCTCCAAATTTGGCAATATTTTCCTGGGTCCATCGCAAGGCTGCAATTATGTCCTTCAGTCCTTGATTCCCGGGTGCAGCTGGATGACCCAGATTTAGGAAACCTTTACGTCAACAAACACCACGATTAATTGGCAACGTGTTACATACGCCAATGATGGCTGATATAATTCGTTTGACAGAAAGTTCTCAACACTTTAAATCATACACGTTCAGCTACATTCGTCTTGAACTCGTACGACTCAATTAAAAGTAATATGAAACTTCTAAATTCTTTCAAAATTTACACATTTTACTCGCGACGAATCGTAAGAAAGATTTATGAGAGAGACGATGTCAGTAGTTAGTAATTTCCAATATTAAATTTCATAATTCCTTCCAAATGCTTGATAAAACTTTCTTTTTTTATTTAGTGGATGACAGATAGTTCAACTAACCCAATGCACCCAGTCTGTAATTAATTGCAACAACGACGACGTCTTTTTCGACTAGGTAATCAGGCTTCATGAACCTGTAACTTCCACTGCCCCTCTGTAATGCGCCGCCATGGACCCAAACCATGACTGGCCTCGTTTCGGTGATGGATTTGGTGTAAACATTGAGGTACAAACAATCTTCAGTTCCGACAATATGGTTTGATTCTTGTTCTAGTTTCTGTGTGCAGACTATGCCTTTACAGACGGCGCAGTTTCTGATACCTTTCCATGGAACGGGTGGTTGTGGATCCTATTTTTCGCGTAGAAAAACATTAATGTATATAATCTTTAATATTAAAGAATGTGACGTCTACTATATTCGTTTAATAATAGTATGCTCAATACTTGTTAGAATCTTATCCCTGGTATATGTGATATGAAAAGAGACAACGTTGTGAAATTGAGGAAGTATACGTACGTGCTTTATCTACAATTTTACTAGAATTTAATGTGTACATAGTTCGTGTAACTCACGCAGAAAAGAATAGTTGATCACGTTCTAACAAACATTAAGCAATCTACGTAACTAGGTTAATCTACAAATTATGGCTGCTACATATGTATGCCATAGATTTAAAGACTGAAAATAAAGGACATATTATTAAACAAGAGTGTACAATACGTCTTGCCAAGAAATTCACAAGAAATGGTTTGTGTCTGGTTTGTAGAAAAGCTAAAATAAAACACCGTACAAAGTTCAACGCCCATCGTGCCAACTTGGAAACAATTAAAGACAAAAAGAAAATGCTTTGACAAAAATTAAATGTTCAAATTAAAACGTGAAGGATTTCGATATTTTTGGTTACCAACAAATTTGTAAAAATGTTGAACAACAAAATTCAGCAATTTTTCGTATAAAATGGTACAATATTTAGTTTAGTACATATAGTTTCGGAAATTTTACTGAAACCCACTATAGACGAACCAGCGAACTCGACATTTCTTATCGCTTTAAATGATAAACACAGCTCTTATCAACACGAGCAAAAAACGAAACTGATGAAAGGAACATTTTTTTTCTTTGAAAAATAACTTCTTGCCGCAGCGTATCTGTCATGGTAATGACTATGTAGTTATGCACCACGTTATATTTCTAGAATCCACATCGTACCTTCTTTTTGAATTTATTTCACTTCAATCGGTTCGAATTAGTGTTACAAAGTGTTTTTCTTTTTCTACTTAAAGTTGATACAGTTTCCTTTCATTTGTTTTTGGCGTGATTTCTTCAATTCCCAGCGTTGCAAATATAATTCTTGAGTAGTGTTTAAAATTGGAGAAGTTATGGCTGAAAGACCTAGTGTATAATCGCTGTGTTTTTCATTTATGTGTCAGTTTTTTATAACTTCGATGTACTTGTTGCACTCGTGGCAGACACGCTGTGAAAAAAAGAGATAATTAATATTATCGTATTAACACTTCGAGAGATAAATTTTCGATGACCTTTTAAATTGAGGACATCGCAGCTAAAAAAAAAAATAGGTGTGCATCATTATACAGGGTGTCCCAAAACTCTCGTAGGAGCTGGAAATGAGAGGTAGCTGAGACGATTCTGAACAACAATTTCCTTTGCAAAATTGTCGATGGGGGTTTCATTTTTGAATTCTTCACGAAAATCACCGAGCAATCACAGCGGCCGATTAGCGCGCGCTTAGCTGACTACGCAGCGACCTGACGCAACTATGTCTGTATTAGGCAATATTTTAACATAAAGATTTAACAAGTAAACTTAGCGTATCAGTTACCTTGAATCTGAGTTTTCCAACAGGAGGCGCTGCGTAAGGTATCTCGAAAAAGGCGATGTAATTGGAGCCCAGGACACTCGGCACGACACTACCTCGTATTTTACCTTCCTTTAGCGAAACTTTCGGCTTATACATTATCGTTAACAGTCTCTTTCCAACTTAACACTATTACACTCGACACGAGGACTGTGCTTCCGGCGCGAATACGTAATCCTCTATCACTGCCTTAACTAAACACGATCCAGAAATGTCCCGACGTCATTACGTTATGCACGAAACGAGATGTACATCGAAATTGCGTCTTATAAATGTTTCGTTTATAAGGAATCTCTTTTCTATCACAAGTAAGTTGAAGCAAAATTGAAGTGTCTGTCTGTTTGTTTCGGGTAGTCTCCGGAACTGCTGAACCGATTTTAAAAATGTTGTCAGTAACAAAAAGCTACACTATCACTGAGTAACATACGCTATGTTTTATTTTGATAAAAACACGTTCACAATTTGAAATCTAAAAATTTGTAAATAAAGTTGTGACATCGTGGCACTCACAACGAGAAATATCGATCGAAACATCTGAGTTACGGAAAACGAAGAAGAGTCACCCACTGATTCACGAAGGAACACGCAGTTGAACAGTCAGTGGAACTCGAACGACATAAAATAAATATGTAGTATTCCACGCGGGTGAAACCGTGGGGCGCAGCTAGTCTTATATAAGAGCTGAATGCTATGTATTTAGTATAGAATACACTCATCGTCAAAAAGATAGCCCTAGGTGTACTATCGTTAGTTTCTCAACGACACACGTACACATTTTTTTTATTTTCGTCGTTGAAAAATTGAATATGAATATAACACCCCCGGAGTATCTTTTTGAGGAGGTGCGTAACTGCCAGAAATAATCGATTACAACTTCTTTACGTTGGTAGCCAAATCAATTACATCAGTAATTATAAAGTACGATGAAGATCGCGAATTACGATTTTTCGTTTAATGAAACGCAGATATAATTACCGAGCTTTTGAAGAGACGCGTTAGTTGCGAAACGCTCTTTGGAAACTTCGATAAAAGAAGTTCGATAAAAGTAATTCGATTATTTACTTCGTGGGTGACTCTGCTTCTATTGACGGACTTGCCTAGAGTGACTAATCTAACCGTAGTTTAGGCGCGACTAAACGTGCTCGATGTGAAGATTCATAATATATAAGAATCGTTAACGTAGGTTCACTGCGAAAAGGGAAATCAAACGAACGCCATCTGGCTGATGTTGCTCGGAGATAGAAGAGGTCAATGGTTAAATCGAAATTAAAAAAAAAAAAAAACTTAATATTTAGGTTGATATCAAAGGTTTAAGATAAGGAGGTCAATTAGCGACACGACATAGTCCATGGTTTTTAAAAATCTGGACAACATTTGCTCCGTGAGGAAGTATGGTCAACCAGTTAGAAAGCGTTTCGTTTTAGGCTTCGACGGAGTTATCAGTGACCCTGATTTAATGGATTGTTGCTTAGACCCGATAAGATTTTGCCCAATACTGTGACAGAGAAGGACAATGTCATTTTTACAGCAAAAGTCAAACATGAGGCAAAACAATTTCGTAATGTTTATTTAATTAATTTTTAAGAGAACTATATAAGTTCATACCGTGACAACCGTAATTTAAAATGTGAAGGTTAATTAGTGGAACTATACAGCAAATAGATTTATAGAAAACTCTACAAGACTTTCTTTAAACTTTGTGTAAAATTGCGTGACCATATCGTGTCGCTAATGAACTTCTTCTGTTTATGTTATGTTATGAGACTTTGACAAAAATCTAAATACAATCGAAAGATTGGTAAGTGTATACGATGATTGAATTTATGAATCATTATATAGGTCAATTTACGACTTGAATTAGACATTTGATCAGTTCTAACCAAACCCTACACTTACAATAGTACCAACTTGTTCCATCCAAAGAGAACGACTCATTCTTCGATAGATTATGGTTTCGCATTACTGTTATAATAGTAGAATTAAGTAGGAAATACACAAACCGTATTTGTACGCGGCACATTTAACAAGAGATATATTAAGACGTATAGACACGTTTCGTCAACAGCTCCAGGTTACATATTAATCTGTGACCGTGGCAGACATACGAAGACACACGCTGGTCTACGCGATGTTTACATGATTTGCGTAGTACATACAATGATCCTTTACGAGTCACAATAAGCGCGAAATATAAATTGCGTATCTCAACACTCGTCCTGAAAAAGTTTCTTTAAGAGCCACTGAGATCGATCAATTTACTAATCCTAACCAGAGGACATACACTCACAGAAATACCAACTTGGTCCACCTAAAGAGGAGAAGAATCCTTCGACATCTTACGGTTCCCCATCCTGAAGAAGTTTCTCTGTGAGTCACAGTTCCGATGAACGACAGGACCAGTTACGTAAACACTGAACATTTCATTAATCCCAAGCAGACCCTACACACACAAAAATGCCAGCTAGTTCCATCCGAAGAGAACTCCTTCTTCGACTCCTTACGGTTCTTCGAGGTTTCTCTGGGAGCCGCTACGTGATCGAGTGCCGGCGCCGGGTACCGTATCAACGGCAACGCGACGCCCGTGCGCGTCCGGAAATCACAGAGTGGCCCGTGCACGGGCATTAGGTAATGGCCGGTCATCACGATCGTGACGCGAGTCCGGTCTGTGCGTCCCATCTTAGGATTCTCAGCTCGCGTCCACGTCCCCCAATCCCGAGGTTCGATTCTTCGGGACGATCACACCCGTGGCGCCCTGTGACCCACATCCCACGGTCGCGACTCCTCTTCCGCCACGAGGATGACATTTTCCACGTCGTTGTCCACGGACTCCGCAAGCCCATGTCTTGTCTCGACGGGGCCACGACGATCGTGCTACGTGTACCGTGAGCCACTATCTTTTCCGACAAATTTATGGAGCCGGTTCCGCCGTTATGATTGAAGTCCCTGGGACGACGGCGTTACCCGGGAAAGTGGGACGCCGTGTTTACCTTCGCAACAAAGGGTTACCGCGCGTTCGAGCCTCTTGCTGGAGATGTTTGGCGTAGGAGAATGGCGCTGGAGTGCTGCAAAAAGATGGCCTCTGCACGAAATTTTCGCGATATTAGTCGCGAACAGAGTGGACACTGAGACTATTATTGAGGCACGAATTGGTTTAGTGGTATAGAAGTAGCAGGAGCCATCATCTTGGAGCTGGGAAGCACTATGCCTAGGGAGACTAGGGACACTTGTTATGTGGATTCATAGAGATTGGAGAGATTGGAGTTTTCGACTATATTATGGGATAAAAGGAGTCAGTGGTGTAGAAGAGTTTGGAAGAGTAATGCAAGCTAGGGAAGTAGCAGAGGCCATTTTCTTAACTCCTATTGCTGATGGACTCCGATACGACTACAGACTAATCTACTAAGGATTTTACTACACTTTAATACAATTCCATCTGACTATCAGGGATGAACTCTACATTCGCTACCCTTCGTGGTGCTTAGTAGGATGAAAAGCATTTGGTGTCGAATCCTCGACGAACAAACGATCCTCAGCCAGTGTAGATGAAGGAATTACCCCCATAAGTAGCGGATCTCTCGGAGCCAACTCCTTCGTCGTCCCCGATTTCAGATCTCGGAAGCACTTCATCCTTTAAACTCTCGAGTGTCTCCTCTCGGACCTTTCGAGGAAACCTCCAACGAAGACGCGCCGTTTCGGACCACAAGAAACGAAGGGGAAGTCGGTTAATAAAGACAACTCCCGAGGATTGTAAAAGTTGATTGAATCTGGCCCGAGCGGAGACAGTTTTCGTCAACGACGGTTTTACTCTCGCGCGTAATAAGATACGCTTTTTACCCAGGCTCCTCTCGTTCTTTGTTTCAATGTCGACGGTAGAAAGCATTTAGCGACCGGTCGATCGCACCTCGGCGGTTTCCGTGGCAAAGAGAAGCCGCGAGCGAGTCGAGCAGGGCTCGAACGGTCTCTGGAAAGTCCGCGGAGAGGAGCTGGGATGCAAGGGAAGATGAAGAGGACGATGGTAGTGAAACAAGAAGACGGGGAGTTGGAAGGAGGAGGATCAGCGGCGCGTTAGCAACGCTTGTAGTCCGTCAGCCACCACGACACTGGATGTCTTTCTTCATTAAAGACCGTTCAGACGTCCCGGTGTGTTGGGACGTCCACCTGGACGGCTCAATCGGGGCCCAGCAACGACGGGAGGATACCCCCCTGGTGCGAACAGGCCCGTTTCCAGGTGTAAAACATCCCGATAGTTCGCACTTCTTGCGGGTCACGATCGTATCTGGCATCGCAATTAAAGGTCACCCTTGTCTCGGGACTTCTGAGGAGAAACCGAGTTTCCATTCGACTACTCTGGTTTGTTTCGCGTCCTGGAAGGTCCTTGATGTGGTGTACCGCGAGACTCTCTACCTTACTATCGTGGTTATTAGTCATTTTATTAATTGGGTACAGGTATATCTAGAATGTGTCTAAAATCTGGTTTAATTTCGTTTCAATGTGGCCTTTAAGTGACCTCTTTGAAAACGATCTGTTCCAAGATCAGATGGTTTAGATTCACTGTTGTGAACGTAGAGCTTGAAAATGTCACACATAAGGTGGATTATTAGTGACTATCAACCTTTTCGTATATTTTGTATATCATTCACAGTATGTTGGTACCTTAATGAGCACCTAACTATGTAGGGATAATTAATCTAAAAATAATCTTTACTTTCTTATCAATATCTTCATAACATCTCTATAAGAGACTCTGTACTTTGGTATTTAGAACCGCTCTGCAATCAACTCACATTAGTACCTTCCACCGAAGAGTATTCATCCACCGAAAACCATCATCTTCAAAATACTTGTCCCAATGAAGAGTCCACTCGTCATAAAGATCAAAGTCACGCAAATCACTTTGCAATAGTCTTCTCCAGACCCAAGATCTTCTCGATTTCTTTCAGATGCATCGCGCAAACCTCATCCATTTCTTTTCAAGAAGTGGAGAGGATGACACTGATTTCAGAGCCGGTCTAATCAGTGTGCTCAATGGAGAGTTGTATGTTTGCAAAACTTCTCGAGACACGCGAGTGAGACCAGCCGAACCGTATCGAAGTGTTTGAACGAGGCTGGAATCGATTAAGGCCCACACAGTGTTCGTTCTGTCTTCGTGGTGGAAGCGCCTTCGAACGCACAGTTCCGTGCTCGATTCCGTTCTGAAAAGCTACACGATACGCAGGTTAGATGTTTCTCAGGACCGAACCGAGGAATTTTTCCGTGGAGGAAACTCGAAGTCTTTGGAGTTGAAGTGACTGAAGGATCAATATTTGTCGTCCTGTCTAGCGCAGACGTTCTCGAGAGCATTCATAGCGGTTCGAGTAATGTGGTCTCGGTCTTTCTTTACTAATGCTCTAACGCGATTGAAATATTCAGAAACATTGGGCTTTTGAATGATGTTCAGATTGTACGGGTACTCTACCAGGAAACCCGATTTTCTAGCTTGTTTGTTAGGAAAGTACAACGTTCGATGTAATAAAAATTTCAAGATATAGAAAAAGTATAACAAACTAGGAAAATATGGGAGAAATTCTACGTTTTTCAAAGATAGTGGATATAATATTAATTTCAAAAGAAGTATTGAAATCAACATTTTAATAAGTTTGAGATAACGTAACAAGAAAGCATAAAACTTCTCATTTTGAAGCAGATCAAAGCTTTGTGACTCTTTGGTTTTCGCTTTGCACGTGATTTTCCTACTCTTACGAAACACAAATATTCTTAAGCTCCAGTTAAAATTCTCAATAAACGAGAATGAATATCAAGTGGCTTCTTTAGAATTCCTCGAATTCTTGTCGAAATTGTGTACGTTGCTTTTCACGCCAATGGTCTCGTCTAAGCTTCGCGTAAAAATGAAAATGAAAGTTTCCGCCGCTAGTTAAGAAGTCAGGGCATCGAGCCGATGGTGTTTGCGCACGGAAGCGTGTGTTTGCGTTCGCGCCGCGATAGAAGTGTGTCGTGTAACGTCGACAGGTACCGGCTTGATCGTCGGTCGCGACGTTAATACTCCCCATAACCTGGGAGCGGATAACCTCACGATGTGCACCAGCGATGGGAATGATATCGAATCAACGCTGTCAACACGTAAATTTATAATCCAGCACTCGACGGTATGAAACGCGCGGTCAACGAAATGAAATCGGTGTTTATCCCATACTTCTACGAGAAACATCGATGCACATGATGTTGCTCGAAGCTTTGGAGCACCCTTTGGATTAAACGTAATTTATTAGTGGAGGGTGAAATCATTTTTTGGCGAGATACTTTACTGGGCGCATTATTAGATATCAATTGGATAAAATGAAATTTATTACTGGAAATGAGGTACATTTTTACTGAGATACTTGATTGACAGGGGCCTGCTAGATAGCTTTACTGACGAGTTCACTAGCAGGCTCAGGACGAAACGCTCTCTCCCTCTACAGGCACACGAGAAAGCAGTATTATTAATAGATAGATTATTAACAGATCTATTATTAATAGATTGCTGATGTTTATGCAAATTTATGTTTTTGTAGATACAGAAAAAGAATTGGAAGTTGAATGAAAATGTGTTTTATATTCTAAACGGTGTAATACCTCAATTGTGTATATAACCCTCAATTAAAATGAGCAAAATATCTAATCTGATTCAAATAAACCATTTCACCGTTTGCTAAAACCAATCAGCGAATGCTTCCCACACCCACACCGGTCGAACGGTACTCAAAGGGTGAAGAAACGTGAACGCGGCCGGAATCCGATCCGCGTCAGGACAGGTCGGCTAGATAAGCGACTAGGCTGGTACATAGGCCGTAGATTAGAGTGATAAAGACTGCAGAAGCGTGGTCAGGGGCGCATTGTGCGTGTCGCGGCTGCGGACAGCACAGTAAGCGCGTTCTGTCACTCGAAGCGCGTTTAGGAGCCGGGGAACGCGCGGTGCCTTTTGCAACGATACCCTGCGCCCGAGTATCAGCCACTGGCGCACGCTGGCCTGCTCTCTGCGTGGGTGG